CTCGTGTTTCTTAATTAAGCAATATGGGGCTCTCTGGGAAGCCTTGAGGGGCTCCTTCTCTTCAAAAAACAGATTGCTTCTGAAGACAAACTGCTGCTGATGGTCGACTTCTTCTGTGGAACCTCCCACTGAGTAGGCCTTGGACCCTACACATGACCTGTCACATCCCCGAAAACAGGATTCGGTGTGGGAACAGGAGGCGACCTTTCAGCGGCAGCCTTGGATTCCCGAGCCCGTGAGATTTTTAGGGGTTTGGGCGATGGCAGGCCCTGTCCATTGCGGAGTGACACTGGACAGCGCGACTTGGGGCTCCTTGGCCTGCTGGTGATCTTGCTGTCGTGGGGCGAGGGATTTGTCCAGGGCCTTCCGGCGGTTTGACTAGCTCCGCCTTATGGCATCTTCCTACAGCAGGCTGCCCTGCCCCTGACTTTGGGTGATGTCTTCTTTGACTGCGAGGCCCACAACGCTGAGATCAAGGCGTCGCTCAAGCCAGGCTTCCATGACGAATTCCTGCTCAGCCAGTCGACGCAGAGGCAGGATTTTGCACGGCCCCGCTCACTTGGAGCCAGCTGCTGAGGGAAACACGAGGCTTGCCAATCCTCATCCCTCGCTGTGTTATCCGACAGTCCTCGGGCAAGCAGCGCATTATTGACAACACTCACACAGGGGGGCAGTCTGCTTTCAGTTCGGAATCCAACAAGCTGGTGCTGTGCTCTGCCCTCCGTCTGCGGCCGTTGCACTTTCTGCGCTCGGGGTCGACCGAGCGGCGCAGGTGCTCAAGCAGGATTGCCTGGAGGGCGGCGGGGAAGATTGGCCGAATGCCTTTAGGACCTGTCCTGTGTCGGCCGCCGAATCCCGAGCCTGCGTCGTCTGTTGGTATCATCATGAATGGCAGTGCCCTGCGTATCAGTTGTATACCGGGCTGCTCTTCGGACTTCCCCTCGCTGTCACGTCATTCAACAGGACCTCCAGGTTCAGTGAAGCCCTGGGACGCAGACTCCTGATTCTCCTTGTTTCTATGTATTTTGATGACGATCATCTCACAGACTGGTCATCCAGCAAAGGGCCAGGGCAGCGCCCCTTTCGTGATCTGAACGAGATTATGGGCTCCCCGTTTGCCGAGGATAAGCGCCAGGACATGGCGCCAACCGGGAACTTTCTGGGCCTGGAGTTCGACTGCTCCACAATCACGCCTGACGGGGCTGTCGCGTTCTGGGTTCGCGATCGCCTCCAGGAAAGGTCGAGGACATGCTGGCGACAGCTGAGCTTTCTGGGGCGTTGCTCCCGGGGGGTTGGCGGCTAAGCCGTACGGCATCCTCAACTTCCTCGAGCTCGGCATGTGTGGTCGCGTGGAGGCCTCCAGGCGCTCAAGACGCGCCAGACTGAAAACACGGTGACGCTTACCAGTGCCCTCAAGCAGTCCATGGAGGTCATCCGAGCAGTGTTGGCCATGCGCCCCAGGCGTGTGGAAGTTCTCCCCTCCCAGCATCCTCGCTTCGTGGCAGCCAGTGATGCAGCAGAGGATGTACCGGGCGCAGGCGCTAGGGGGTTCCTCTTGGTCTGGCGCTCAGGTTCTCCGGATCGTGAAGCTGTTGTGGCAGAGGTGTCGCCCTCTGTCTACTCGCTCTTCACGCCAGGCGACCACAAGATTGCGCAGCTTGAGTTGTCTATGGTTCTCTTTGCTTTGACCGCTCGGGCTTCCCGCTTCCGAGGTACCAGATGAGTCTGGTATATCGACAACGTGGCAGCGCTCATGTGCCTCATTCGTGGACGCAGCGATTCTCCTGATTTGGAACGCCTAGCCAACCTCATTCACGTGGCCCTGTTTTCTTTTGCAGACTTGGATTTATTGGGAGTGGATCCCGTCCAAGTCTAACTGGTCCGACTCTATCAGTCGTCTGGGATGGAGTGACCCCTGGCATCGCATGCATCGCTTCCAGTGCTTCTCCGCCAGCTTCCCCGCTCCGCTCTGGCGACTGCCGCTGAGACCCGTGACTCTCATCTTCGAGTTCTTGTAGTGCTTTGGGGATGTAGTGCGGTGGGAGGGATAGCCGGATGTTGACCGGCTTCTGTCTGTACCGGAGGGATGGAGATGCTATCTACCGGTGAGGGCAGATCTCCTGCTGCTAGCCCAAAGCACATCCTGAAGGGTTCAGGTTCTACGTTGATGAGTCGCCGGGCATGGCAAGGGCGTGAAAAGAGTGCGTTGCTGCGGAGTAGGAAGTAGTACTTGGTGGTAGCACTTGAATGAATTCATCTCCAAATAATCTATAATTTGATTTCGAATTAGTTTCTAGCGGAATTTCAATCCGATTACAATTGATGTTTAAAGGAATTCTAAATGCCAGCAGGCTGCAGAATTATTTTCTACTAATGTGGGTCCCTTTTCCAATTCTGGTTCGGGCTGCTGTGGGGCAGCCTTGGTAAGGGGTAGGCTAGGAAGGAATGAAAAAATGGTTTCCAGTAGGCGGGCATATTTGGTTTAAACATTTAGAAAGCAGTAAGCAAAAGCAACGGCTAATGGAGCTGGAGCTTAAAGCAACAGCAGGCTCTGCAGAATTAGTTTCTACTAATGTAAAGTCGAGACTCAACAGCAGCTGGCAGTATTTTTGCAGTCACTGTAGTTTAAACTATTTACTTAAATCTACTATTAGGATGGGTCCCCCCAAAAATTCTTAAGTCTAGTCCTTTTTCCCCATACGAGGAGGCACCCAATCGTAGCTAGTTTTTGGCGGCTAAGTCCACACAAGAAAATCCTCTAAATATGGTCCCTTTTACAAATCAAGTGCTGGGATTACACTCACTCTATGCCATCTATGCAGCAACTCTGTGCGAAGATGTCTGGCAAACGCCTCGTCAAAGCAACGCCTCACGGCGTTGAAGGTTGGCACAAGGAGCATGCAGGAAGGCGATTGGTTTCCATTGCGACAAACTGCAACTCCTTGGTAAACCAGCATGGGAATTGCTGGGAGGCGAATCTGTGAAATTCATGATCTCATGTGAGTCCACAAAGAACATGTTCCAGACTGCCAAGGTCTGACCAAGTTCAGAGCCAGATGTCGGACTCGAGCAAGCAGCGGGTGAAGGAATTGCTTCAACATTCTTTCTGACGCAAATCCGTGAGAGCTTGTCACAGCCACAGCTGCAGCTGCTTTTCATTGCCCAGGACCTTTTCTCGGATTTCTCAGCTGCACGACGTAAAGGTGCTGGTCCCGAGGCGTTGGGATTTTGTGAGCGAGCGAAGTAGGCATGTTTGACCTTAAAGCCAACAGTTGTTTTCAGTAAGTGTCTTCTGGGGAAGTTCCATTGAAGTATCCGCTGACCTGCTTCTGATGTGGAACGGTTCCAAAATCAAACTGCAGCAAACATCTGATTGTTTGGTGTCATGGTGAATTTGTATTGAGGGATCGGAAGTGGCTGCGGCTTTCCCTCAAGGGCAGAGTAGTCAACAGCTTCAACGGGCAAACTCCCAATGCTGGCAAGTTTGACAGGCTGTTCGAACTTTTACCGACTGCCTCATTGCCCTTGAGGGCGTGCAAGCCATGGAGGGGTTCAGCAAGGAAGGAGGCGGGAAGCCGATTTTCCAAGAATTCGGGACCAGTGCTCCCTGTCGTGCCAGATCTTGGCACGGACACGGGCTACACATCAACAGGCAGCATCTGCCCGAGTTTGATGGAACAGTGTTCCCACGCTCAGAGCGGGATCCTTCTCAGGCATGGGCAGCTCGGGCAGCTCGGGCGAGGAGGAGGATGATGAGGAAGCAGTTAAAGGCTGGGCCTCCGGAAAGTCAACCAGCAGCTCTGTCAATTCCCAAAGCTAAGCCCTGTATGAGCATGCTGCCTGAATGTGCTTTCTTCACTGTAGATAGCTCTGCCACTTGTCTTAGTGCTTGGTATTGGCGGTAAGCTTGCTAATCCGACCGTTCCGTTTTGAAAAAGAGCAGTGATCAGAGCAGAGCCTTTTTTGTTTTGATTGTTGAGAAGTCATGTTGTTTCTGAAAAGGATACACCTGGGATGGCCGTCGCTTGTGGAAGACGGACGCTGCAGCTACCTGACACAATTGTTCCTGAAAGCAGATGATGTGTCATCCTGTTGCCGCATGAGGTGCGCCTTTTCTCGAAGAAAGGGAATATCGAACCTTGGCGCTTGGCCAGGGGCTCAGCCACATGCAAAAACAGTCTTGACATCTGTTGGATGTTGTTGGCAACATCTTCACCTCTTGAAGTCGCGTGCTTAGATCAACGTGCTGCAGCTGGTCATCTGTGGCGCATGGGCATTTCTGATTCTGGCAATGGTCGTGGCTTTTCTGCATTGACTGTCTAGTTTAGTGGTGCTTGTATGCGATGGCAAAGGACTTTGAGATGCTTTCGATGGTGTCAAATTGCTCCTGAGATGCGCCCAGTAGCATGTCTAAGTTTTGCGCATCGCCAGGTGGACATCTTTATCGGCGATCAGGGCCTGGTCACAGCACCACACTGGTCGCGACCTCCCATGTCGCGTCTATCTCTGGAGCCTCATGAGCTGGGAACACCTTTGGGTTTTCCCTGGTACGCAGGCTTGTACATCTGAGTGCAGACTGGATGATGTAAGTGACAAGCCGCCGACCTGAGATTGCCAGGCGCAAAGCCCTGGCTTCCAGAGCAAATGGCCTGGCACGAGGAGCGGGGTCGCTCCTTTCACGCAGGGACCAAGTCACAGCAAGTGAAATCATCTGAAGGAAAAGCGCGAGGCTATGAGCGGCTTCATTAGCGCACCCCATTCAGGCAAGAGGTTGAGTGGTCAGGAAAACGCAAAGACCCAGTGAGATCCAGGTCAGGAGGAGGGAGGCGGCGGCCATTCCAATATCCACAAAGGTGAGGCACGTCGCTTGTCTGGCCAGCTCCTCACAAGAACAAGGACACACTGGTCCGCTGACTTTACGCCAGTTGCTTGAACCAAGGTGCAGATGCTCATGCCTCGCCTGTGCGCAATGCTTTGCGCGACATCTTGGAGCTCCTGCCAGGCAGCACAGGGCAAAGAATTTGAGTGGATAGATCGGCAGACATCAGTTTGGCAAGTGAAGATGAATGCAGGATCGCAGCCAGCCCAAGAAAGGCCGGTGCAAACCACATGGCCGAGATTCTTCGAGCCACGCATCTTGGCGTGCGGAGCACATGGTGTTGTGGGGGGCTCGGAGAGCTAGGCAACATCATGAAGGCAGCGAGACGCAACCTTCTGCTAGCGGTGCGTCCTTGCCCTGTTTGCAAGGCTGCCCTGACGCCTCGGGGTGTAGGTGCCCTGGTTCCAATGGCTGCAGCTCGCCACCGTGCCGTTGAAGCTGCAAAGCGCTTCCGCCTGTCTGGGTTGGCGCCTGATCGCCCTTCTAGGGCTGGTCAAACCAAGCCTGACATGTAAGTCAAGGCTGACTCACCTGCCTCCGCTCCTTTCTGCAGCTTTCCATCCGCAGTCGCAGGCTGCGCAGGGAGGTGATGATTGCAGTCATCAGGGACAGATGCTCGTGCTAGTCAGTTTGAAGGAACTGCTGGTTGTGACGCGCGGTGGTCATGTGGCCTTCTGCCCCAGTGGTGTAGGGACCCTGGAGTGTGTTAATTTTCAGTGCGTTTTGAGCAAGGCGTGCGGCATCCATTCTTCATTGTGTTCGGAGGCGTCGCCAACTTCTGCCTGCTCTGTGGCCCCATTTCGCCGCCTTCCTTCGTCCACGGCACTTCGAGCCGCCACCGTTGCCTGGCTACGCCACGATCTCAGCTGAAGCAATATCGAAGAGATTGGATGCGTGCAAAACAAGTCGTGAGGTGACTCGAGCACCAACGAGCACCAGATTCATGCGGCATTTATCGACGAGGCCGCTATATGCACGAGTGACCGAGTGTCTCAAATTTCGCGATCCAACAGCAGTTTTCTTTGCCATGGGCTCTGTTGAGGCTTTGCCAGAGCTGGTGGCAGTCTTCAAGCTGATGGGGCACGGTCAGGCACGGTGCTTGTGCTGTGCCTTTTGCAGACTTCCCGCTACTTGTTTTGCCTGGTTAGGTTTTGTCAAACTCTTTTGCTGTTCCCGCTCTCTTTGATGCGTGCTTGCTTTCGTTGCGCAGTTCAGTTTGTTGAGCAGCAGGCTGCAACATGGCACCCGCTTGGAGAATTCCCAGCACCATCGTTTGATGAAGTGAAGGAGCCGCTTTCTGCCAAGGCATGGGCTCGTGTTGATGTGGATTGCATTTAGGGAGAGACTATCCTGCAGCAGGGAGTTTGCAAGTAACGGCGAGGTCACTTTGGCCTTTGCCCCGGGTGAAGTTGTTCTCACCACAGCTGCTGGGACCGTTCATCGCCGTCGCCTAGAGGAGACGAGTGCAGTGACGCAGAACAGTATGTCCTCAAAGAGTGGTCGCAGGACGGTGTGCTTGCTGAGTCCTCACACCGATGGGGCGGTGCCTCCACAGTGGCGCAGTGGCAGGCGGCAGCTAAGACTGGTCTGCTTCTTCGTGTGAGAACATGAAACCATGCATGATGCAGGACGCCTGCCCCACGAGTGAAGGCCGGGCTGAAAATCTTCCGATTGCCAACGTATGGTTTCGAAGCTTTTTGTGGAGCCTCTCAAGCTTACTGGCTGGTAGTCGCTGTTCTTGGTACAACGAAAGTGCAAAACAACATTTCAGTGCCAGGGGAGACATTTCTGAAGAGTATCAGTGTAAAGAAGCTTGACAAACCGCATGCAGAAGATTCAGCAGATGCTGCGTTTGAATGCTTGGGCTCGGCAGAAGACAGGCCTGGCACATCTTCGCCTTCGTCACAAGGAGGGCGTGCGGCCCTCGCAAGGAACATCACGGTGATGGAAGATGATTTAAGTGCTGATGATCATGATGATCACACGGTTGCGAAGGCTTGGACCCCGGAGCTGCTGACCAAAATTGGAGAGACTCAGGCCGGACGTACCAGCCTCAGCCCTCGCTGGAACATCATGCGCTTCAGATTCGCGAGACTTGAAGCCGACGGAGCAATGCCAAGTGCGTTTCTGTGGTGCAGAAAGGCCCCAGAGAACGGACTACTCTTGAGATCGGTCTGTTTCACACAACGAACAGAGGAAGGACATGTCACCTGAGGCCGGTAGTGACCATGACAAATTTCTTGAGCGCAGAATGATTCGGATGCTTTCGGCGCCTACGGCGACTTCTTGCTTCCAGTGAGCTGCGCTCGTCTTGGATGGCGAAGACTTAAGTCGAAGAACGCGCGGGACCTTCTGGCTGTGAAATGCTTCACGGTAAGAAAAAAGAGCCACCCACCAAAAGATTTAGTACCACCTGCACAAAGGTCCACCGTTTTGAAATGGTAAGACACCATACGCAAGCAACCTGGAACCGTCTGCTTGAGGATCTCACCTTTTTGAAGGGGTAAACGCCTCACGCAAGAAACCTGGAATCATCTGCTTGAAATCTTTTACGCCCTCTGCTCGAGGCCATGCGCCTGTAAATCTGCATTTAAGGGTTTCAATTAAATGCCGCCAGGCCCTGGAACCAAGAACCAAGATGCCCAGGACTCTTGATTCTTGATTCTTGGTTCTTGTGGTCTTTCTGCATTCAACTTTAATCTTTCAATTCAGACTTAAATGCAGCCAGGCCCCAGAACCAAGAATAAAGAGTCGTCCGCATCTTGGTTCTTGGTTCCTGGGGCCTGGCTGCATGTAGCTTGAATTCTAAAATGCAGGTTTCACTGCAGTCCGGTCCTCGGAACTGGAACCCTGAGGGGACTCACTGCCTCACTTACTTACCCAGACATTCACTCACTCACTCACTCACTCACACTCACTCACGCACGCACTAGCCCACACTAGATCACCCACTCACCCACTCATTCATCTACTCACCCAAGCACAACAAATAACTTCAAACATCAACCGTCATTGGACTAGTCCATCACCTAAGTACTTTGCCACTTTAAATGTGCACGAACATGTCCATATGCAAGCGTGCAGGCTTGAGTGAACATATTGCTCTGTATGAGTGAGTATGCAACACGGGACACGCATGAATGAACATGTTTTGCTGCATAATTGAGGTCGTATCCCATTGCATGCAAATGGTATGCAGCTCGAGCTACTTAGCGAACTACTTTAATAATCCAAGTGTGCACTTCATGTGAGCTTGCTTGTGATGCAGGGCAGCGCGCTTAATCTAAGGGTTTTTACGATAACCACCAGTTTCTGGGCTCTTGACTTTATTGATATTAACTCTTTATTGGTTTCGAACTGAAAGGACAAGCCCCTGATACTGGACGAATTCTTAGATCCATGACTCTTTGTTTTCTCTAGATAAAGCGCTTGCTATATTGGCTGTGAATCTAAAGGACAATTCTTTGATATCTATCTAAAACTCGACTAAATAAGCGTCAACGTTGAAGTCCTGGGCTCTTTTTTCTTCTTCTATGTCCCTTACTGATTAGAAGCAAGGAATCCTCTCCATATGAGGCAGGAGCTTAAGCTCCAACTCATTCTACAGAGTTTCTACGTGATCACAAGAAACAAGAACTGAAGCTTTCACTCCAGTTGTATCTCTCTCGTATCTTTATTGCGGAGGAGAGAATTCATCCAATTCCATTCTTCGGGAGCAGATAATTCAAGGTTCGACGTATGAGGCTTCGTATGGCTCGTAAAGATTGTCACAGACCTACGCCTTCATTTCCACAGCAGGCATCTTGGACCTTAGAAAAGGTTGATGTTTGGGGCAGAACGTGTCCTTTTTTTTTTTTCTTTCGTGGATCCATCTCCAACACAAATCAACTTGAATCATTCTATTCACACTACAACCTTACAGCCATACATCAAATTGTGTTAGCTACATGTCAAACACCTGGGACAATAATCTTCTACTCTAACCTGTAAAACGAAAAGACCAATTCCTTTCATTTCCACCGCGCACTTCAACATGGATGCGAGGCATCGAAACCATTGAAAACGTCTATCACCTTCCTAGGCAGCCAAGGTCAAGTCTCTTTGATAATGGTTGCAAACTCCTCTCCCTAGATCCAAGGTTTCCAGTAAATTCCTCTTGGTATCCTTATGTCTTAATCCCTTGAAAAAGGTGGCTCATGGAGGAAGGGGGGTTGCAAAAAATCGGATTTTCTTTGCAGAGCCCAAGAATTCCAGCTTTTTGCCTGGGCTGATTGCCATGCGGTCAGGAAAGGGCATGGCGGGAGTGGTAGGATTAGGAGTTGATTGAAACTTAGGGGCTTAGCAAAAGCATGCCTTTCTTTCCTAGCAGTTGGAGTGATAATTTGGTTCAAGACCCATGTGCAAGATGATGAAGTGGCATGTTCAATCGCACGTACGGGTTGGGCACTTCAAAGCTTCAAACGGTGGCATTGCATGCTAGCAGATCCAGGATGTGTGACCTTGTGACGCATTGAAGCTGAGGACCGGCACTGTTCCAGTGATGGCACTTGTTGCGTCTCACCTACCACTGCAGCCATGCTTTGGACCCTTGTTCGAATATGTCACCTAACCAGTCATGCTGATTGTTTCAAGCGGACCAAGGTGTTCAAAGCATGCAACACTGACAGAATCGGGATGACAAAGAGCCCTGTGCCCATAGTAAGCTATGCAACCTTTCATTTCTTCAAATCCCTGGACAAGTTGGCCAGGCTTCCAGGCAGTGCAAAAGATGCTTGCAATGCCTGCGTTCATTCTTATCGATCATGGTATATCTAGCTACCTACTTAGCTGCCATGGTTTTGGTGTTAGTCATCGCAGTCAGAACCATGTTTGAGATACAGCCTGTTGGAACTGTTCAAATACCTTGATGGTATTGCAAGTGAGAGCCCGTCTTAGGGCCAGCGCCTCGTGCGAGGCCATCGCTTCGTGACTGAACTTTCATGGAACTTCAAAGGCATGACGATGGAAAAGTTCCATGGCAGTTGTGCTGGGTCAGGCTTTCAAGGCCTTTAGAAGCAAAAGGCTGTTGACCAGCTGAACGTCCTAATGAAAAAGAGGCTGATGACATGGCGACTCGGTAGTTTAGCAGTTTGATCTCAAAGTGGTAGATGCTGGACCTAGACTTCTTTGAAGCTCCTCAGGACGCTATGGTCAGTGGACTTGCCTGGCAAGATTGCAGCTTCTTACCCGGCCGTGCTGATGCAGTGAAGGAAAGGTCCGATGCGCTGTGGAAGCCGGTGTCGTGGCAGATGCTTGCAACATCGTTTGTGAGCCCTGACCGAATATGTGGGTTGTTTGGGGCATATTGGCTCAGGAAGCATCAGGGTTACCAACAGGGCATCAAGGGTGGACATGGGGGTAGTCTAGTATATTCCCTAGTATATCGCCCAGAAAAGGCATGTCCATTCTAGACTTAGCTCTTATGATGAAGTGACAGGCATGCCATTTGCTTGAGCCAAGATACAGCTTCGCCTGTGAGCAATGCCTTGCGCGACACCTTGGAGCTTCTGCCAGGCAGCACGGGGCAAAGAAGTTGAGTGGATAGATCAGCAGACATCAGCTTGGCAAGTGCAGATGAAAGCAGGATCGCAACCAGCCCAAGAAGGCCGGTGCAGTGCAAACCATACGGCCGAGATTCTTCGAGCCACGCATCTTGGCGTGCGGAGCACATGGTGTTGTGGGGGGCTCGGAGAGTTAGGCAGCAAGACGCAACCTTCTGCCAGGTGCGTCAGCGCCCTGCCCTGACGCCTCGGGGTGTAGGTGCCCTAGTTCCAATGGCTGCTCGTCTGCCGTGGAAACTGCAAAGCGTTTCTGCCTCTGGGCTGGTGCCTCGTCGCCGTTCTAGGGGTCAAACAAGCTTTGCGCCTAATTTGAGGCTGAATCACCTTCCTGCGCTTTCTGCAGCCTTTCATCCTGAGCTCGAGCCGGGGAGTGGGCCTGCAGGGTCCCTGGAGGGCAGTAATTTTGAGCACTTCCAGCTGCCGGCGTGGCCTAGCCACGCCACCATCTCAGCTGAAAAAGTCTCGTAGAGCTTGGATGCTTGCAAAACAAGTCCTCAGGTGACCAGAGCACCACTGAGCCGGGGGGTGGCCGCTGTATGCCCGAGTGATGCCTGGATGTGGTGACCCCGCTGCGCTTTGCGATCCAACAGCAGTTTTCTCTTCCGTGGGCTTTGTTGAGGCTTGCCAGAGCTGGCAGTCTTCATGCTGATGGGTCACGTTCAGGCACAGTGCTTGTGCCTTTTGTAGAATTCCCGAATATTCCTGATGCCTGTTTTGCTTGGTTAGGTTAGACTTCGTCAAACTCTTTTGCTGTTTCCGACTCTCATTGATGCGTGCTTGCTTTCGTTGCACAGTTCAGTTTGTTGAGCAGCAGGCTGCAACGTGGCACCCGCCTGGAGAGTTCCCAGCACCATCGTTTGATGAAGTGAAGGAGCCGCTTTCTGCCAAGGCATGGGCTCGTGTCAATATGGATTTGAAGTTGTTCTCACCACAGCTGTTTGGGACCATTCATCGCCGTCGCCTAGAGGAGACGAGTGCAGTGACGCAGGCCTGGCACATTTTCGCCTTCGTCACAAGGAGGGCGTACGGCCCTCGCCAGGAACATCGCGGTGATGGAAGATGATGGAAGTGCTGATGATCACACGGTTGCGAAGGCTTGGACCCCACAGCTGCTGACCAAAATTGGAGAGACTCGGGCCGGACGTACCAGCCTCAGCCCTCGCTGGCACATCATGGGCTTCAGATTCGCGAGACTTGGAAGCCGTACATGGCTTGTGGTGTCTTGTTGATTTTTACCGAGGCCTGCAAGCGACGACCGTCCTGATAAGATAAGGATGGCCCCAAGCTGGGTGTCATCTCCTGCGGCGAGGGTGGGGAGGCCTGGAAGGCCGGCCAGTAAGGCAACATCAGCCTGAGCGATGGCGTGAGCGAGTTCGAGTTCGCGAGGAGATCAAGGGCACCTGCCTGACCTTCCAGAAGGATGCGGACCTGATCAACCCCTGCTGGAAGGAGAAGCTCGGCTACACCGACAAGTCCTTTGTGCAGGTGGTCAGCAACGATTGAATCAAACTTTTGGTCCTGACTATTTTGGAGTTCGCTCTGCTGCCTGAGCCGCCTGTCATGCTGACTGTTTCCAGCAGAAAGGCTGGACTCGGTCAAGAAGAGGGGACGTTGAGATGGTGCGGGTGCAGAACGACATGCTGTTGGCTCAGTACGCCGGCCAAGGAACGCTAGAGATGTTTGCTGCGTGTTTTGTAGCCAAGAACTTCATCTTGTGAGGACGGTGCTGAATGCGAAGTCAGCCTCGTCCCAAATGCCCAGATTGAAGACGAGCTTTTCACCACAAGCGGCAGTTCAAGCTGCAAAAATGACCGTGAATCCTCCAATCAAGTAGAAAAAGCGTGAGCATAAAAGGCCGGCACGTGGTTCAGGGAATGGCACGCCATCCCATAGCCAGAACTAAATCATTGAACTCAAGTTTTCAATGACACCACGTGGTTCTTTGACAAAATGCATAGATTTCCTTGCATTTTCGTGCCTATTCTGTAACGCCAGCCAGTCATGGTGATCCTTTACACTGACAACACCTGGAATGATAAAATACCCTGTCTAAGCTATAGAGCCTTTCATGTCTTCAATCTCTGGGCAAGGTTGCCAGGTTCCAGGCAGTGCAAGAGAAATGCTTGCAACGTGCATGGTGCTTTCATTTGTTCTCAGTGCATACCTAACCACCCGTTCAGCTGCCTTAGTTGCGGTGAGGGGTATCGCTGTCGTCGCAGCCAAAGGTATATATCAGATTTCAGATACAGCCTGTTGGAACTCATGGCAGTGGTGCTGGGTTAGGCTTTCAGGGCCGTGAGAAGCAAAAGGCTGTTGAATAGAAGAGCATTCTGTTGGGAAGGAGGCTGATGACATCGCCACGTGTCAAACGCTGTAAACTTGGTGTTGTGGGTCGGTCTCAAGTCTCAAGGTGGCAGATGCTGGACCAAGAGTTCTCAGAAGCTTTCAGGACGCTGTGTTCAGTGGACTCTAACCCGGCCATGCTGATGCAGTGAAGGAAAGAACTGATGTGCTGTGGACGATGCCGGTCTGCAGACATAATTCCAATGACCCAATGTGTGGATCGTCAGAAGCGAGTTGGCTCAGACAGGCGCCTCATGAGGTGACAGGCCATTCCCTTAAGTATTTTGGCTCTTCCTTCTGGATGGTTTTGCACACTGTTGGCAGATTCAAGACAAGCGAAGCAACACGCGGTTGTTAAAGGCTTTCTGCCAACCTTCAAGAGTAAGCTAGTTTAGGTAGGACTTCCGCTGAGGGATGGCGCAATCTCCCTCCAGGAAGGAGGCACCACACGACATGTTCTGAACATTTCTGAAGGGTGACAGCAGTGGTCCTGTGTCATCGTTCATCCAGAGCTTCAACCCATTTTTGTCATTCCATTGCGAAACGCATTTTTCTAGGCTCTTGCGAGTTGCAATCAGCTCGAATTCTGCTGACGTGCATGCCGTCCTACTTGAGGCGATGCGCCAAGTGCGGGGCGCGGAAGGCAGCTACAGAAGCTACCAGCTGAGTGTCTGTCTTCATGGATTCTGCGTTGGCAGTCGCTTGGCCCTGCATGCAGGAATGGATGGCGTCTGGTGGACGAAATTCGGGTGCGCCACGTTAGGGTGTTGCTGGCCGACAGCTGCATGAACAAGCACATTCAATCTCTACCTGGCAGGGCAGCATCGATGGATTTCAGCCACCAGGCAATCTGCTTCACTTGCCTTGAGCCACAAGATTGACCAGCGGATCCCTCAGCTGTCACGCTTAAATAAGGAGCGGATGCATCCGTCAGACACCATTTTCAAGGACCAGCGCTTGCGCGCACCCAGATGTATGCTCTATCACAAGCAAAGCAAATTCGTTTGTCAGCAACTCATGCAACTCTCGAAGTCTGAGAACTCTTGACTCTGCAGAACGTGGTGGCCCACAAGAGATGGGATGCGGAGGCAATGAGGCACGAACCGCTTGGGACTGTAAGCAGCAAGTGCACTTGCTCAATGCCACCCGTGCAGTCGTCCGGCACCCTTGGCTTCCCGCGAGCTCCGTGCCACGCAGATCAGGTGAGAAGATCTGCTCAGGGTGCCCGGTAAACAGTTGTCTTCGGGGGATGGCTTAGGGCTGCTGAAGCACTGCGATAAGCGGCCTGCTGCAGCTGCATCGCTCGACACAGAAGAGGATAAAGGTGCTGACATGGAGCAGTAGCGGCCAAGGATCTTGAGGCTGCTGCCATTTGCCAGGCATCCTGCTCCAGCCACAGAAGCGCTTGCGCCGACAAAGGCCTTGTGAGTTGCTTCATGTCTTGCATCCGCAAAGGATATGTCTTTAAGCTTGTCCAAACTTGGCAGGCATCGCCAGATCTGGAAAGGAAGCAGGGCCCTTAAAGCCAAGGCTTCTGCAACACTCCGAAAACTGGACACGCTGAGATCCGCGCGGTAGCAGCATAAGTTGAACTTAATTCCTTGCAGAAGTAAACACCAAGTTGCCAGGTTCTGGGCACATGCGGTTACGTCGAGACAGTCTGCCATCCGCTTGGCCGAGGCATGGTTTGGCAGGCGAAATAAAGGGATTTTGCTCTCGTGGCATGGTGTTTCAATGTTGTACATTTCTTTCCTCCCGAAACTAGATTTATCTTGAACGATTATGTATGCAAACTGCCACGTAGACCAACAGCTGGCCAAGATGGGAGCAACATCTATTGCGAAGCGCAGCAAAGACGCGGAGTGTCCAAAGGGATTCTATAGCTGCTTCCCGGCGCGGCAAGTTCGCATTGCCGTCTGGGTTGTTGCACACCCGCCAGAAGCGGCAACGACGCATCGATGTGTGGGCCGGAGAAGCACCGATTCGGCTTGCACCTGCCCGCAAGCTCAGCATGTATGACTTGCTGCCAGAAATCGTAGAGCAGAGTGGTATTGGCAGTGTGCTGCTCGTGCCGCAGCAAACCACAGAGTGCCGGGCTTGTAGCCTGTCCGCAGGCCCAAGCTGTTAGTTTGCAGTCTGCAACTCACTAGTCTATACAGTAACATGGTCTCGCACGTGCCGTGGATTCTGCTGGCCCTCTCGTCGAGGGCCGGGGCTTTCCGTTCTGAAGCCAGCAGATTCGCAGATCGACTTGAGACTGCATCAATTGCGCAGTTTCATTGTTCTCCACACCTTGCTTCATCCAGTGTTCGGCTGGATTGGCACTTGATTGCGCTGGTGAATGGTTACCGCGGCTCTGTGGAGAGCTTGCAGAGTCTCGCGGAAGATCTTTGCTCGGCCAGTTTTACACGAAGAGAAAACACGATGATTGTCGTCCTGGATGCAGTTGCTGGTTGGCAGTCTGTACAACCCACGCTGCTTCAGGGAGAGCGTGTGGCGCAACAGGTATTGAGTACTGTTGCTTCGGGTGCTGCTGAAGGGAAGCGCTTTACTTCATACTCCATGATTGGCCACTCCTTGGGCGGCATTGTGGCAAGAGTCGCAGCCAGCCATCTTGACGAGCAGGCTGCAGAGAGCTTGAAGCCCAGGCTTTTTGTATCACTGTTTACGCCTCATGCGGGCGTAGAGAGCTTTGTGAACTCCAAGTTGCTGCCTTCCCTAATCCGAATTTCCAATACTGATCGCGGGGTGATGGACCAACTCTGTGAGACGATCCCTGAGCGCAGTGTCTTGGTCAAGATCGCTGGTGGCCGCTACAGACAGGCGCTCCAGAAGTTTGAAAGACGTGTGCTTTACACTTCAGATACAGACTGGCTTGTGGACTTTGGAAGCGGAGCAATCACAACTCACAACCCCGTGTGTGACGAGCATGAGGATTGCAAGAGCCCCAATTATCCTCTTCTGGGGTTGCACAACTGGAACTTCAGTGGTGCTGCGATGTGTGAAGGCCATAGTGTACGATGCGAGATCATGCGGCAGTTGCAGAATGTTCCATTTGTCCGGGTCAGTGTGCAGTGGGGCCTTCTCAGGCCAGACAAGCATTCCATGCAGCACATGAACATTGGGGAGAGAGCAGAATTACTTCGGCACCTGTCAGCCGCATTTGGCGGTACAACTGCAAATCTTCCGCGCGGTGCAAGCTGTTTGAGTTCTGATTTTTGTGCGATTGGCCTGTGGTGTTCCGGGGCGACTGCGACATGCCAGCCTGTGTCTCTACATGCTGAAGCTGCCTGCGTTGCTGCTGATGCAGAAAGCATGGAAAGATGCTCCTTTGTTGTCGGTCTTCTTAATGAAGCACTGCAGGCCTGGTTCCTCTTAGTGACCAGTAGTGGTGGTGGTGGACATCTGGTGGCAGCCAAGAATCTGCGGAAACAGTTGCTGGAACAAGCTGATGGAGGTCATGAGGCAGCAGCCGCAATTATGCTGAAGAGCAAGGCGCTTCTTACCACCGAAGCGTATGATTTGGCCAAAGCAGCGCTATTTGAAGTACAGAACGGCCCACCGACTGTAGAGCTGCTTGACATGATGGACACGCCTTGCACCAGTCTGGATGGAAAAGGATACATCTCGTTGGGTGCCTTCATGACAGATAGCTGGAACAAGCTGCAGAGTGCTGGCGATATCGAGGGCCTGCGGCGATTGGTGGCCATGCAGCCGCTGACGCAGTTGGCCTTCGGCTACCAATGCCGGAACTTCATGACCTCTGTCATTCATGGCAAGCGGCTCGGCTACGAGCAGCCGCCGCAAAGACTGATCTCCACACAGCCTCTGCTCATCAAGTCATTGCTGGATTCATCCCCATCACATGGTCTGGAGCTCTATATGACGGATCTGCCAGTGAAGGAGGCGGGTGTGTTCTACTGCACAACAAAGACTGCTAAACTCAGCCTTCAGACATTGCCGATGCTTGTTATAGGTTTCAAAAGCAGGCGCTCCATTAAGCCTCCTTGCCTGGGAGATGCATGTTCCCCGTGCCAGCTGAAGCAACAGGCTTTCAGGAGGCTGCCCGGGTGTTTCGGATCTTTCAGAGGACTCAGATTGGGATGATTGGGCTAATGCGCGGCAAGACCAGTTGGTCCGGATGCCAAAGTAGGGAGGAGGCCTTCGCGCAAGCTTTTGCAAGATTACTTGTCATGTTTATCGTCGATGCAGTGGCTTGAGGAATAGAGTACGTTGTTTGCTGACACGCACGTGCAGGAGAATGTATAAGCTTTAGTCAGGTGTGACGTGGCATTGAGCTCTAAAACTAGAACATGTGCACAGTGGTTGCAAGTCGAGTCTACTGCTACAGCGTGCCTGGTTTGTGCCCAGCCGGAAAGCGCGTTGCCGTCATATGCAACGCGGTTGCAGTCCGGGACACAGGACCTAAAACTTGCATCCAAAAGACGTTTCCTTCACATAATGACTCCACAGCAACGAGCTGGTCCTCAAAGGTTCCCGTACCTGATCACATGCATCATGTTGAAGTTATGTTGATCGGATCCACGTATGCGACTGGCTGTCGCCACTGTTCTAATTTTGTCGGTTTCTGAAATCATTTAGCTAGCCACGCAAGCCAGCAAATGTTGTTGTTGTTGTTGCTGTTGCTGTCGTTGTCTAGGCCTTCCGAAAGAAAATTGTTCTCTTGCCACGTTGTCAACTGCTTTGCCGAACAGTTCCGTGTTGCTGTGTAATTAGTTGCCTTGCTTGTGAGGCCGTGCACTTCTTCGGTCCCTTGCAGAACTTGCGAGGAGAGCTTGAGGATGTCGAGCATCGCCTTTTTTTGCACGCGATGGCACCAATGCAGGGTGGGAAGGGGGAGCTGGCGCGATTGTCCGGTGTCCCAGATCGGCAGATTACGATAGACAAATTCATGCCCATCAACCTCAGTTTCACGGAGGCAAGCAGTCGCCTTCCAGCGCCCGGCCAGACTGCGGCCATACGCCTGAGAGCACAGCTACCCCTTGAGGAAGACTTTCTGTCCGGTTCTGGTCCAGTCACGAATCCCATAATGCTCGAATCCCATGACCAGCTTGTTCTGGTGATGCTGGGCTCTCAACCCACAGTGGAAGCTGTACTGAGGTACGGGGCAGAGAGCTTGAAGCTGCCCAGTCCACCAAGCAGTAGACGGTACATTTTCCTTGCCTGTGGACGACCTGCGCATCCTGACTAGGAGCTCTATGAAGAGATGGTGGCCTTGGCTCGCAAGAGCTGCAATTCGTCGTCCCCAACTATTCTGGTGCCCTTCACTGGCCAACGAGCAGCAGAAAAATTCTGGGGCGGGCCGACCTCACAATCACCCGCAGTGGTGGTCTCACGGCCGGTGAGCTGCTTACATTGAAGCGCCGCGGAGACAAGAAGCAGTTCCTTCTTCATGTCGAACCCGTGGATGACCTAGCCAAAACCCGCGCTCTTGCAACTTTGCTCGATAGAGCCAAGGAGCAGGAGGCTATGGCACTGGCCACAAAGGAGGCAGCCTTGCTCGGGATGGTGCCTTGGGAAGCTGGAAATGCACGGTACCTGGAAAAGGTTGTCGGCGCTAAGATTGTGATGCCGGAGAGCTTGGTTCGCACGGTACTAGATCAGAGGCTGCCGGACTTTCCTGTTGATTGGAATCTGTTGCTGCAGCTGCGCGGGTTCAGTGCAGATGCCATTGGGTTTGCAGAGGCAAACAAGTGTTCCCGCTCCATCAGCGACTCACATCCACTGACTGAGGCTGAAATATCTAAGAATGACATGTGCCAGAAAGCCTTGGATGCCTTTGCAATGGCAAATTCGTTCAGTGGCTGGTTTTCTCGTCCAAGTTCTCTTACCTCGAGCGCCATTCGTTGCAACCAGACGATCAGTGTCGTGCGGCGCCTTCCGTTCCTGCAAGTCTCCTATACCTTTTTGCAGCAAGGCCTGAAAGACCTGGCCAAGAAAGCAGCGATCTCATGCCAAGGTTCGCTGTTGGAGCGTGAGGACTTCCTTGTGGTACAGCTGTGACGCACGGCAAGCTGGAAAAAACGTTTTGCCCAAGCAATGCAAATGCTGTCTTCAACAGCCCAACAGTCCCTGTCACTTTTAAGGATGCACGCCGAGAGTGGTCAGAATCATCACTGAGCGCAGCGAGCTGTTCTCAGGCTGGAGTCAGTGGCCAAGCCACAGTGATTCAATGCCATTGCGGTGTGAGCTCTATCTATCTCATATGACTCATATGTGCTCACGCACAATCCTCCGCGTTAGCTATTCTCATCACGTGCTTTTTGCTCGTGTTTTTGGCAGTGCTTTAGCAGATGGGCAGCTGCCCAGCGGTGCATGCTGCATGCATATTCTGTTCCCAAAGTCTGTGCTGCTGACATCACATCTGGCAGGTCAGTCGGGAAGTATACCGCAGGACTTGACAGGGGTTTGCTGCCTCAAGACAAAAAAAGCAGTCGGCCGGAAACGTTTCTGCCTGGTAAAGCAATTGACCGTGACTGTGAAATGCTGGCTTTACCTGCAAGCCTGCTCCTGTTCTTCAGCAGGAATGGCTTCCTTGTTGGCCGCACGCAGGCAGTCCGGGTTTAGCACCGGAAGCATTTGCTTGATGTGAGGGCAGCCCACGGCAGCTCTATGCTGATCTTGTCTGATTTACTGATGTTCTCCACGTTGGCTGGTTGTCCTTGCAAGGCCCCCGTCCGGGCAAAGTCTTTATCCCTTCAGAGCATTCTTTTCGCTGGGGAGGCACCTGCTTGAATTCTGTATGCCTTTAGGAATTGTATGGAATTGTAACTAGGCCCGGAAGGCAACTTCTCTCAAGCTTGAAAGTTGTGCCTTCTTCGAGTCTTCGACCTCCCCAAATCTTTGAAGTGAACATGACTTCTTGAGGTGATGAAGGCACCTCCGATGAACGTTCTGAGAAAACGGCCTCGCCAGCACAATGCTTAAATTGCGGGTGCAGATGTCTGCTGTCTGTGCAGGTTGTTGATCAGCCTCTGACTCTTGTGCCTAGAATCGCTTTGTGGCTCAGGTATGAGATGGGCTGGAAGACTCTGCCAGAACGGAGGCAGCTCCATGGTTCAGCTGATTTCACAGCTAAGAAGCAGCATCGTTAAGTGTCCTGCTCCATGGTTGCAATGTTCGTGTGGATTCCTTGCAGGTTCGTCTTTGATCCGAAGAGCTTCCTTCCAGTGCCTCGAGGCCTGATACTTGCGGAGATTCGCGAGTGAGGGGAGGCCATTTTTCTCATGCCACACATGTCATGTCTTCGCAGGCGGCTGGGATCTAAATGATACTAGCTGGCCAGACATCATTCCAGCGGGACGCCGTGGACTGGCACCCTGCCCGGGGCTTAGAGCGTCATGCTCAAAGTGCAGCTCATGAGGACAAAACGATGGTGCTTGTTGCTGTTCAGCACTTGTGCTCATCCCGACTTTCGAAACATCCCGCAAGAACACATTGATAAAATTTTCCGCGACTTGATTTCCTGTACATATCCAAAGATATTCTATAGTGTAGCGGAAACAGTTACGCACCTGTAGAACAGCTGTGACTCCCTTCAATATTAGCAAATATTGCTACTTACTGTATTGTTGCTGGCTTGTTCACATGCCACCTGCATGCCCAGTGCCTTGCGACAGCCACGCGGAGGAGGTACCGTTTGGATTGTAGCTGGCACTGTGTCTTTGAGTTGAGCGTTCAGCTGCAACGATCGATGAACAGTGGTGCAGGCAGTGGAGCCAACGGTTGGGCCAAAGTCTTGACTGCTAGCCGATTAATTTCCAGATATTTGTAGATACAAGCCGCTCCCAAATTTGCAGAAGTCTCACAGCAGAGTGCGGAGCTTTGAAACCTAAGCGCTGCAAAGGGCAGACTAGAGCACTTGCACTCGCGGGGATAACAATGCAATGGGATGTTTTTGTTCCGAAGGGCTGCCCTCTGAATTTGCCTGTGCTCCTGAGGAGCCTTTCATCTCAAGATTTCACATCGTAGATTGCAAAACCACCGCCTTGTGAGTTATGCATGTGCTGCAACGTGTTGTAGCATGAGCGGGCATGGTTCCGAGCTGGCTGCACCTGGTTGCTCCTATCAGCTGTCGATGCTTTCCATCAAGGCTTACAGCATACACAGTGACGCAGGTGGATGAGATAGGCTAGATTCGGTGAGCTTTTTGTGACGAGGCAGGGATACAGTAATGATGCGCAAGTAAAACCAGCCCTAACACTGAGGTGCCCTCAGAGCGTGACTGGTGAGTAGCAACACCAAGGAAGCTGCTCTGTTACAGCGTTGAATCCCAGTGAGGTGATAGGCCGTGATCGCGGAAAAACGCATGACTGCAGCTAGAAATCTGGTCAACATGGCCCGCAAACCTTTGCAGAGGCAGGTCAACATACAGAGCTGATCTCCGAGCCAGAAAGCTGCTGGACCGTAACCCGAAGATGTCCAGCGATTCTGGCATGCTGTGGACTGGCAAGACGCAATTGTATGACGCTAGGCGCTGCTTGCCTGAACAGTTTTGGGCACAGTGCCCGAGCTGGGAGATGCGGCTTTGCTGCAGCAAAGAAAAGCCAGGCCAAGCTCCGAGCATTGCTCGAGTAGCTGGAGTAGTGGCAGGTTTTTTGCTCGAAGCCCCTCCAGCTGCTCTCGCTGCTGGATGCTTGGAGTGCTTGGAACACGACCATGCTTGCAATCAACCCTTGCTTCTGCTAGGCATCACTTCTAAACCAATAAAGCCATCTCCAAAGTCCCCGGAGGAGCCTCAGATGCAGACCCGAAGTTTGCTTCACAACTCACATGGTAGTTTCTCTCGATAGGGGGACCCCAAAATAGTATACACCTTATCATGGGGACCCGCAGGAAGGTACCCCCCCCAATTTTGGGAAACCCACATATCTTGCTGTGCAGGAGCATGAGAAGCATGCAGCCATCCAGGACGCCAGTCATCTGGGGTGCACAGGTCCCTGTTTGTTCCACTAAATTTTCAATTGGGGGGACTGTCGTGCCGCAGGCCGGGTAAGCTAAGTTGTAAGCCTGTTGCTTCTCCTGACCGTAGCCGAGTCATGCTTCAAATTTTAAGATTTTTGGTGCCCCCCCCACTACAGCATCTACATGTGCAATCACCCATTTCATGAAGCTGAGTACCCTGAATCCCGGGAAGGACTTGATTGTGCATCTTCAGCAGTCCGGCCGAGATGACGTGATGCAGGCGTGGTCGCTGCCTCATTGAATTCCCGTGTGGCCATTTCTGCAAGCAAAATGGGAGGAGCTGTACGAGTTGGTCTGCAGACACTTTCCCCAGATAGGCCTCCAAGCCTATTCAGGTGGCATTGCTAGGTCGACCCAGCATGTTTCTATCTTGAATTCGCAGACTAGCAGATATTGCCATAGCCTATTCGATTCCAGACGAGACGAAGTCGAGAAGGGCTTCAAGGAGAAGCTTCGCCGCCCGTCTGCACCTTGTGCATCGTTTGAAACTCACTAGTGAGCTGTAGCAAATGTGTTTAGAGTATTTAACTCCTGCAGCTGTAATGCAGATGGTCAACAAAACGGCCATGTGCTTCCGAGGAAAGATCTTGCTGTCGCGCCTTAGCTCCGAGGAACTGCTGGACCGAGACACGGGCTGCGTGTTGCTGGCCCTTCTTGGAGGTGCCTGACATTACTCCTCCCTGGAAGGACTGTGTCATCGACCACCTTGACATAGAAGAGATGGAGGTCAGGAAAGACGTCTGATAGGTCTTGCTGGTGATGACGATTCGTTTTCAGGCCCACCTTCGCGATGCGCTGAGTCAGGCAGTGCTTCTGGACTTGGAAGCGTTGCACAACGATGTAAAGTGTAGGATGGCGACCTCGACGCGGGTGAGGACCGAGGCCGATTGGTCAAATAATGCTGTTGGCCATCGGTATATGTAATAATTGTTAACGCAAGTGGCAAACGGCAAACGGCCCTGTTAAGCGAATACGGAGTTGTTTCAGCGAACTCCACCATTGCTTTTACCCGGAGGTGGAGATGCATATCAGGATATGCCATCCCGACGGAGTTGCAGTCCTACATGCATTTCTCTGTGACTGTGCTTGGGAAGTCAGGCTTCGTCAAGTTGCATCAGCCATACTTGAATCAGCCCTGCCTGAACAGACTCGCGTTTCAAAGTGGTCTCAAGACCTAATGCACATGATTCCTTTCTCGCCCTCAAGTTTGCAGTGCTACGCTGCTGTGTACATCTTGGCACTTGTACCAGCACCAAACGGGAGTCCAGGCTCTTGCTTGCTTTAGCGCTTCAGCTCTGCAGTCCGTGCTCTTCATCGACAATTTGCGTGCAGCACAAGCGTGAAAGCTTGATTTTTTTTGGTGCCAGAATGTGAAGGCTTGGCAGCCAAGACAATTTGCAATGCATGCCAGGCTACGCATGATGAGTGAGCAGCGGCAAGGGCCGAAACAGGGAACAGAGGCCTCCATGCGAAAGTTGTTTGCCTGTTTGACTGCACTTGGTGATGCAAATGTATGAAGCGCCTACTGTTCACTGCAAGCTATACGCATGTCCTTCATGTGTCAGTGCAGGCACGCCCTCTGCATGAGCGTTGGGTCATGGATGTTAAGGCACGGCGTTGTGCTTACTTCATGTATATGTGCTTGCATGGTGTTCGGAGAGGCACAGCTGCAAGTGCTGCAAGTTCAAGATTCACGGTTGACTTGAAATAGTGGCAGCGTTTGCAATGATTGCAGCTGAAGATTTTCAGGAGATGCTGCAGACAGTAGACAGGTGAGCTTGCTGCTCTGCGGGACTTGGCCATGGAAGAAGATGCATCATGGATTTCTGGCGATCTTCGAAGGCGAACCAGAGTCTTTAACAACAACCAGGACTGCATCGGTTTGAGAAAATTGTCACATGCCGTGGGGGAAACCCTGATGTCATGGTGCCATTAGCAACATCTTCCCCAGAAAGAGAAGTCTGGGCTTGACAGAGTGCAGACCCGGCCTGGCCCTGCAGGAGAAGCTGCTGTTCTTCTTGTCAGAGGAGGTAACAAGAACACCTGCAGTCTTTGAGCAGGTGCAGAGTAAAAGAGCTCGGAGAAACGCAAGGGTACATGCTGAGAATTGCTAACATTTCTGCTCTCTTTTCTCCCCTTTAAAAGGCTCAAAAGAACCGGGATGCACATCAAAAGCGGCTCAACGAGATGCTGGAAGAGACGCTGCGGCAAATCAAGAAATGCCGGGCTCACATGCAGCAGAAGAAGAAGCACGTCATGGACACCACGAAATCCTACACGGCACCCAGGCTTGCAATGCTGTCACGTCAGTGAGTGTCAGTTTCAAGCAATATCAGCGGGACTCAGCTATGTTCTAACCTCTTAAATCAGGAGTCAAGTATAACCTCCCCCCCAACCACCCCCCTGTGGTCCTATGGCCTGTGGTCTGGGTCTTGTGGGTTAAACTAAGGTTTAGAGAGATATGTACTGTTTGCGGAGGATTCAGAACCTCTTACCATCCCCTGCCCCCCGTGGCTGATGTTTTAGGTCTTGCTGTTTACATTAGTATTTTGGAGGGATAGTGGACTTATAGTGTTCATAGAAGGTTTATAAATGGTGCACAGAAGGTTGCAAGAAGGTTTGCTGAGGGTTCATGGTTCTATAATGTTCTGCGACCCCGACAGGCCCCATCCCTGTGACTGGCACTTTTGAAGCATGTCATTGGGGGGGTGGGGGGGAGATACCATTGGGGGCTGGGAACGCTCAGCGCAGGCCACAAAAGCATTCCCCCCTCAAGGCCTCTCAAGGGGATGCGTGGCTCTGCGTATAGGTTCAAGTCATCAACAAAGGCAAAGTTCGATCATGAGCTTGCTGGCGCACGGCGAGGTCTACGCCGTGATTTGACCCAGGCAGGTGCCATGCAGCGTGCGTGCTAGCAGATTGAAAAGAAGATGTTCGGCAGTGCGCAGGCTTTTGCCAAGATGAACGAGGTGGTAGATGAGCTTGGGGTCCGCATGAGTGATGCGGAGGTGAACGGCTCAGCTGGCCAAGTTGTCTTAGATCTTCCAGTTTCAGATTAGATGGTAGAATCCGCAACTTTTCTCCACAGGCGGCTCTCGTGCAGCAGCGAGAGGACCGAAAGAGGCACATCGAGGCCACTCTGGGCCCAATCCGTGACGAGTCGCAGCGGCTCTTCGATGCTCTGGCAGCCGAGACCCGCGAAAGGCAACTGCAGGATCAAAGACGGGAGCCAGCCTCAGTTGAACCTGAGCTCATGCCTTTCATTTTCTGGTTACACCCCAAAAGATGAAACTCGAGAGGGTGCCTCCAGCTTTTTGTTGTGAAAGTGTGCAGTTTTACAGGAGAAGATCCTGGAGGATGAGGTTCTGGACATCAACAAGCTCATAGATGAAGAAAAGTTTGAGCGGGAGCAGCAGCTGATGACATACGAGAGGTGGGCAGATGCGATGCAGCAGCAGATCGCAAAGAGCCAGTATCAGCTGGAGAAACAAGTTCGGGACGTGACGAAAGATATTCGAACCGAGCATCAGTCTCAAGCCAAGAGCCGCGTGGAAACGCAACATGCAATCGTGGACAGCATTGCATCCTTCATACACAAGTACCGTGAGCAGCTTGACAAAGATGTTGCCTTGCAAAATGTTTACAAGGCCTTGCTAAAGTAAGGCCTTCCAATTGTGCAAGTGTAGCTAGTGTGGGAGCATGCTTGTAAGTTGTTGCTTGCAGGAAGGCAGGCACCTACTTTCATGCTTCCACTACGCGTGTACAGGAGACATAGAACCTTCCAAGAGCCCTTGGCGACGTCTCACCGTTTCACCCGAACATTGCAAATCGCACAAGTCATACAGTGTTGCAGGCAAGGTGTTGATTGCGCATGTTGCAAGACTGATTATGATAGTGTAGTGGCCATGTACTGTAAACTGCATGCTTCAGTCCGTGCTTGAAATGACTCTTGGATGCATCCCATCGGATCACAGCAGTGTATTCGGTGTCTGGTTCGAGAGAATGGCTTTAGATTCTCGATGATGGGTGCAGTCAGTTTTCCATGATCCAGTGTCCCTTACGTACATTGGAAGCACGGCAGGGATGCGGTAGCGGGCGCCAAATTAGTGTCACTTCCTCTAGCATGTTCTTTTTGCTAGTTGATGGGTTCTCTGACTTGACATCCCGTCCGCAAGTCCGAGGATCCCTACAAACACAGATTAGTCTAAGGGTATATCAAGCTATATCCTCACGTTTGTTTCTGTGGAAGTCTGGATGTATGACAGTGAGCTGGAATGTATTTGTGGATCTAGGTGCAATTGTCTCCCCCCTATGAACATGGAATTTTCGAGCAACCTTTAACTGGCAGGCTTCCTGTTGCGGGTCAACGGAGACGTGCGGCCCCAAGGCCAAGTCCAGCCTGTGAGCAAGGGTTCACAAGGTTCATGTGTAAGATAAACGACTCGATTTGCCTTTTCTGAAAATCTATGGAGTCATGAAGCTGGATCAGGTTTTCAGCTGGAGTTCGAAAACTGAGCTCTTTTTGTCAGTTTTTTTGTGATGGCGCTAGCTGCGAGAGCAGAGCAGGTGCTGTATACCGGGCTTGATGGTCTCAGTGACTTCAGAAAACTCCTTGAGCAGTTGTGTCAGGCAGGTACACAGCAAAGGGGAGATGAGGGGAAAGCCTGCGTTATGGGCTGCTGGGGCCAGTGGTGTGGGGCACTTCGAAGAAAATCTGTTGTGGCTCATGACGTCTTCAATTTTGGAGTGGGGCAACAATGCCTTAACTTCCCTGCGTTGAGCAACTGATATTTTAAGGTCTGTGCCAATGGCCCAGAAGAGCATTCTTCTGAGCAACTTGCCTCTCACCACGACTGCGAGCAGCTCAGAGGCAGAAAAGGCAGAAACCATCCATCATCCATCACCTTTTCACATCACTTCGAGCTGTGCTCAGGAAGCTGACGTCCAGGCAGTTTTGTCCAAAAGCTGTGGAGAAGTCAAGACTTTGGCCATGTGCAAGAGCCTGAGAAGTTGAAGATCTTCAATGCACTGCGCCGCCTATGCGGCCTATGCTTGTGTCTCGCCACGTGGGTTTTGTCTTGCAGGCGATGACATGGAACACTGGATGGATACAATCCGCGAAAGCAGGCTCATCTGTTTGACAAGTGTTGCTAGTGCCTTGGAGATGCGGTTCTGGCCATGCTTTGCAAGTTGATTGTGCTAGTCCCGACACCATACAAAGCAAAGAGAAGCCTGCGCGGAAGGACTCCGTGGTCACTTGGCATCTTTTCTGTATCTTCCTGGGGAAAAGTTTGCTGTTTGGCTTCGGCTTCTTTGCTTGGTGCTCGGGCTGCTAGGAGCCAGCTCCGCTGAAAGCAGCCGCCGCACCTTATACTTTGCAGGTCCCCCAGTCGAAGTTTTCTTGTTTTGGGAATCAAATTCTTGCAGCCTTCAACCAAGGCGCTATGCCCTTGTGGAATTCCAGAGCCTGGAAGCCAAAAGACGAGCCACAAGAAAGCTGCACGGAGCTCAAAGCACACGGCCTTTGGCAGCTGTTCAGCTGTCAGCACTGAAGGTTGTGCTGGAGAGCCCAGCAACATGTGTTTGCTTGCTCCGAGCAGCCAGGCCGCGACTGAACGGAATTTTGTTCAAGGAGGCCTGAAGCAAGGGACGGTAGCAGTTTACAACTCTTCTTGCCGTTCTTGAAGATGCCTGAGAAACCTGGCCAAACATCAAGAATCAAGGGGTCAGAGCGAGCGATTTGGTGCAGTCTCTGTTTTCCAGACTGTCTTCAAAGTTTTGGACGGGCGTGTATGAGCATTTCAGATATGCCTTGTCTCAGCTCTTCAGAATCTGCTCGCTCTCAAACAGCCCAGGAAGGAGGCAAAACCTTTGACATGAAACGAAGCAGCTCTGAGGAAAGCATTGTTTTGCGGTCAGCGTCGCCGCTGGGTGCATGGATTTTTCTTGGACATAGCAGCGGGGGCTGCTGCTGTGTTGTTTGACAGAGCGAGCTTCTCCGAATGCACCGCTGGATCTTTCCAGGCGGAGTTTTGCTTTAGCCACCAACCGTTCTTGTCTTGACCCTTTGGGCTTTTCTTTTTGTGTCTGCTGCTTCGATTCCAGCAATGTTGGAGCCTGATTCGTCTTCCGCGAACAAAAGGGGGAGCCTCTATAATAAAAGGCCAGTGTGGGATGCTGGAGGGTTGCAAAAAATTCGAATTGGGGGTCTATAGGATCCTATAGCTCCTGCTAAGATCAATAAGAAAAGAGGGGATCCTTCGGCGTTTATTGAATTCATAAAGACTTCCTCAGTTTAGCATTCAAGAGAATAAGAAGGGTAGGGTCGGCCTTTGTGTTGGAATGCCCGGCCCTGAAAACCATGAAATGCAAATACAATCTAATTAAGATCATAGGAAGCCTTTGGAAATCGATTACAGGCTATTAAAGATCGTATTAACAACAATGAAGAACATGTTAGAATGGCCTCACCATTAGCCCAGCCAAAGAGCCTTGACATTATTGAGCTCCCCCAAATCATTTACGTTGTTGAGGATCAGGGGCTCTGCTGGACTACCCCCTTTGGAATTTGATTGCCTAGCCTGTTCGAATAAGCGGTTTAATAACACGTCGATGGTTTTTGTTGGCATCAGCCTCCAGATTCGAGAGGTAATAGAGCCTGTCCTTTTCATGTAAAGGCCTGGCTTCAAAACAACCAATAGGATTTTTACCTCATCAAAACCTTCCCTCAAACTTTTCCGGCAGAAGTGAATCTTGTATTCAAAGCTCTATATGAAATACATGTCTGCCATTTTGGCTCAGGCGCCAAAATTTTGAGTCTCAGGCCCCTTGCGTTGGCGGCGTCCTGTCTTGGAGCTCTGAGATATTTTTGATCCAAAGCCAGGTGAAATCCTTGGTCCGCGCAAACCCCGAGGTTGTCGTAGAAGCGGTCAGCGGGCTCTCAGTCGACGAGCGCGTGCGTTTGCGCAAACTCGCTGAGTAAACGGATTAATATGCCTATCGCAGCTGCAATACATTGGTGGACACTGGCCTCCTTCTTTTGTCAGATCCTGTGGCACGTGCTAGCGATAACTTCACTGAGGTCACTGACTTTAGTTCTGGGCAAGCAGCTGCGCACGTGTTTGAGGCTCCTCTTGCGGACACCTGCGGCCAGGCAACCGACTGTATCCACGCAAGCGCTTCTAGTCAGGTGAGCGCAAAGCAGCACCCTCCAGGACTCAGCAGCTGGGAGGCTCGGTTCCAGGCAGTCAGGAAGATCCACGGGCGAATTGGTTGCGTGATGAGCTTGGCAGACCTCGTAACACTACAGCGCCTCTCCATATCAAGAACCAGGACCCCGACCATCAGGTGCCAGCACAGGCCGGGGCGCCGCAGTCGCAGACTCTCTTGCCAGGCGCGGCTTCAGCTTAGACGGATATTGCCTGGTAAAGTGCGAGCTTGGCTGCAGGTATAGCGCAGTCGCCCTGTAGCAGCTGTAGCAGTCAGTACCAGGAATCAGTACTAAGAAGAGTCGTTATCATCATGAGTGCACCGCTTGTCACTCTGCCCAGGACACTCAGCTCAGGACCCGTTTCTTCACAGTGCCCTGCTAGCTAGCGGCACTCAATCAGGTTGAGCACATCACTCCGCTGCCAGACTCAGGTCCTCTGCTTGCATAGATGTCTTGCTGTCCCTCCGGGCAGTTCTGGTTGACACAGGTTCCATTAGGATTCACCCGGCCCTTTGCCAGGACAGTTTGGGACACTGACAGGACCTAACTTTCGCGCACGCTTAGGCTGATGAAGCAGGACTCGTGTTTGCACGCTCTTGCCCTTTGACAGTTCGGCAGTCGTTGAGTGATCAGCAAAACCAGGGCTTGCTTGTGCAGCCGTTGGGCCTCAATAAGGGCAGTGCAGTCGTGCTTCGGCGCAGGTATGTGCTCTTTGTCTTGCCTCCACGCATGCGCGTGCTCAGGCCGCGGTGGGCAGGGGCTCGATCAGTTGTGGTGAGCCTTGTGACGCATCATTGAGCGCTTGGCCTGCTTGTGCAGATGCCAGGTGCTTCGTGCCCGTGTTCACCAGGCGGGACACTCTTGGCCGAGCATGTCGCCTCAGCATAGCTTGTGCTAGCGGCAGGTGGCGATAGATCCGAACAGGAGGCTTGGGCCTGACTGGTGCAAGCCTGTGCTCGCTTGCGTGTGAAAAGACAGCGGACATACTGTCAGGGCCATGGCTTGAAACCCTGGGAACGCCCTTGCAGGCGATGCATCATCTGGGAGCTGCCAGCTTGTGCTGCGCCAGGTTAACGTGGCACATTCCATGGCCAGTTCTGAGGTGACCTGTAAGTGTGAGGCATACGGTTTGGTGCAGCCTGATTGCAGCCGGCCTTAAATCTTACAGTGCATTGGTTTCTCATGCGGCCAGTGCGCCTGGCCAGGTTGACAGTCAGAAGCTTCAGGCCTTGATCCAGACCTTTCACCAGGAGAATCGTGCCGCACACCCTCCATCCTGAACAGACTGCTCTTCGAAGCAGGGACCTCTGTCACAGCAGGGTTAAAGGGATCACCGGAGACCGCAGATGAAGCTTTCTCCGGAGGTCCAGCCGTGCGCAAGCAGTCAAAGCCAAACTACGGTCGTGGCCGGCGGGTGCCGCGTGTGAACCCTCCCATGATCTCATTGATGTTTGCAGTCCATGATGCGGGAACAGGCCGTAAAGCATATTCCTCAGTCATTGCGGGAGCCGAGAGGCTCAGATAGGATCCTTTCAAGAAGGATGACGAGCTTGTGAATGTGGAAAAGTCTGTGCTAAAGTTATCAAGCCCTCTCCGATTCGAGTGGACATCAGCGACCTCAGGTTGTATCATTTGTGTTCGATGTACATGAGCACGCAATGAGGCCATTGTTTGATTTCACTCACAGGCATCCACCCCCTGGTTTCAGTCCACCAGGTACAGAGCAAATCATCCGGGCCGATCAGGAGTTGTGGCGTCAGGTGTCCTCTCATGTCAAGCACGAGTTCGCCGCGAGAGGGGGTCACAAATTAGTGGACAAGGCCTTGCTTGAGTCCGTGTTTGCTTCGTCCGTTGTTTTTCACCTCCTGCCTTTTCCCACCCCCCCAATGCTCAAGATCAGTCTTTCCAGGAAAACAGCCCGCCCAAAGGTCAGTGGAAAGGGAGAAGGGCAAGCAGGCAAGTCCCGACAGGCGCGGGAGCGCAGCCATAAACTTGTCAGGTCCCAGCAGAGCTGAAGGGTGTGTCAGGTGTGAAGAACGGGATCAGGTTATGTTTCAACTTTAATCTGGCCCACGGCTGTGCCTTGGAGCGCAAAGATGTCATGGCCATCTCGGTTGCAGCAAAGAGCTTACTTGTGCGTGAAGTGCGGGGGGCAAGCGCAGTGCCTCTGCTTGCGAATCCTGACTAGTAGCAGGGAACAATGACAGCCACCCGCCTGCCCTGCCAGACAAGCGTGACACGAGGACGGAAGTCGTGGCGTTCTCAGGCGGCAGTTTGGGAAAATCATCGCCCCGGGCGCTTTGCGATGGACCCGTGTTGGGATGTCCGTTTGGGATTTGATCCTGTCAGAACTCATGCAGCGCTCTCAGACTGCCGTGGGGACGCGGACCTTTCTCCTTCATGGGAGGCCAGCCTGAAACAGGACTGCGGACAGCGGAGGACTTGTTGGAGGCCTTGGCTGCTCAGACCAAGCCGGGCATAGCACAGGGGCTTGCTGCCCGCATCGCTGCTCCTTGCAGTCTTGTCCGGTTCGGCCTGCGTGCGCCAGCTCTCTTTGGACAGGCAGCAGCTCAGGTTCTCGACCCAGACGTCAGGAAAGGGCAGGGCAACCTCAAGGTAGTCTTCTGCAAGAGGGCCACCGACACGCTCCTGACGAAGGCGCTCAGCTTGAAGAAGTTCGTGTTGCGGCACAGCTACAAATTCTCCCAGGACCCCTTGAGCGAGCCTGTGCTGTACTTGCACCTCCAAGAGTTGAGCGGACAGCTTGTTAGGTCTTGCCTTTGTCTGGGGAACCTAGGTCAGCGTAAACCCGTCGGCTGCCAGGGTGGCTGGACTGGCTCACCTGCAACTGAAGGCTTGCAGACTGAACCCAGAGCAAAGCGCCCCAAGTCGGGCCACTTGCAGCAAGTGGTTCCTTGCTGCCAGCACCTTTGAGTAGCAGCGAAGTAGGCCGTCGGCTACGTGCACTTCTTTCTCGAGAACAAGAGGCAGATCAGGATAGATCAGGATAGCACCCTGGCAGTCTCAAGGTCACTGCCCTCAGCTGGTGCGCGCGCGTAGTCAGGTGTGAGGTGTTGACCAGGACACGCAGACCCTGTTAAGGCTACCACCGCTTGGAGGTGAGCAAGAGTGCCTTGGTCGATAGCAGAGATGCCTTGAGTGGTCTACTGCGAAGTTTGGAGCAGGTTTTGCAGGATATTCGCCAGGCCAGCTTTGATCCGAATGACACACGGAGCGGACACTGGCGCTCGAAGTCGTCCGTCCATGGCTTCACAGGTTCGGCAACCAGGACGCCAGGACCGGGCAGCTGAGGACAGTGATGGCTCGCAAGCCAGCAACTGTGAGTGCATGAGCAGTGAGTCTGAAGACGAACAGGTCGCTGTGCAGGATGCCACGCGTGTGCTAAGCATCATAGTGGAATGTGGCAGATTTAGTCTGCACACTCATGAACTGAGTGGCATTACCCACCTGTCCCAAAACCAGGCCACCAAGTTGTGCTGTCAGTCTACGGCAGGTACCGCTCAGGACATTGTTTTAGCAGCCACCAGGGCCGCTGCTGCCTTACTTGCAGCAAGGTTGCGCAGGGTATCTTAGGTCGTGGGTGCAGTAAAGCACAGTTCAACAGACAGCCTGGTCTTTGACCCATCGCTGGGGTTCTGCGTAGTTGCCTCGCAGGACTTGCAGGATTGAAGTCCCTGTTTCGCAGTGGCTCAGGCTCTGCACGACAGACCAGGAAAGTTCCAGGTCCGGCAAGGAAGCAAAGCGAAACCGCCCCTCGTGACAAACGAAAGTCAGCGCGTGCTTCTTGTGAGACATGTTAGCATATAGAACTTTACTCCATTGGGATCCCCAAATCGGATAAAGGGGGTCCAGAATATTTTTCAGAAAAATACTTTATTGGAGACACCTACTATAATCGGGATTCAACATTAGCCTTCCGTGGCCCCACCAGCAAATGCAGCTCCATACTTTTGCAGATGGATCAGAAGGTTTGCATCAGCTTGCCTTCTTGAAGCAGGTTCTGCTGCTCAAGAAGCGGACACGGCCTCAGATCAGTAGTGTTCGGCCTGCCTAGGGGCAGTAGAAGATGGCAAAATTTGCACAAGCACCGCCCTCATGGAAGGTGCCTGGTAGGATAGTGCGATTTCACATTGGGATCGCGCTTTGATGGCGGATTAGTGACCTTGCCGGAGTTCTGCTAAGATGCAGATTGCCAATCTGATTGCCAGGACAGCTTGGAAAGAAAGCGTCGTGGCTCGCCCGGCATTTCCCCAGGATGCTCGTAGGGGACTTACGGCAGCTCTAAGAAAGATTGTCACTCGGCGTAACATGCTCATTTTCGCAAGCCAGTCTGTTTGATCAGCATTCTGACGTGCTTTGAAGGTTTGAAGCGGACGCTCCTTCTGCGCAACTTGCCGCGCACTTTGCGTCCCCCGGAGGTGGGCCGGTACCAACCATGCTCCTGGCTTGCACATGCGGCAAAGAAGGAACAAGCTTGCTATCCTGACATGCTTTGCATTAGGAGCCTCACTGCCGCCGAACTCTAAAGCCACCGGTGTAGCTAACTGTAAAGTTTTTTTCGATTGTCGGATCCAACATCTTGAGTTCCCACGATCATCCGCCGAGCGTTTTTTTTTTTTTAATTGCAGTAGATGCTGGCAAAAAACTCATGCCTGTTGGGTAGTATGCATGCAAAAAGGTCGGAGTAGCCACTGAAGTGGTGACACTATGCGCTCATATTTTACGACCTCGTGGCCTTTCCGTCCGCAGTCGCAGTCCAAAAACCATCGACTGGGTGAGCTGCGGGGCCCTTCAAGTAGAAAAATGAGGCTGCGTTTGAGTGAGGACGGGAAGTTTAAGTGGTACGGGTGCGACAACCGTTCCAGGTCTTGATCAAGGCAGTGATTTCCACCATTAGCCTGTCCTCTTTGCATGTTTGTTGAACTTGCTTTGCATGGCAGGTCCTTCGTCAGGTTGCTCGTCAGCTCTCGGCTGCTGGCAAGTGTCACCTGAAGCTGCTCAACTGCGCAGCATTTGCCAAGAACTGAGACATTGGCGTTCAGTTGCAAAGTCTTGCAACACAAGTTGCTTTGCTGAAAAGTGGCGGAACAAGGCACGTGGACACCAAAGATTGCAGCTGTTCGAGATAGAAGCCAAAGAGGCGCAGCATGCGTTTGCAGCACGCGTATAGCATGTAGTTCCTCTGCAGCTCAGGGCCAAATCCTTGACGGCACACGTCTCGGCTCGTCCGCCTTGGCGGATGTGAACGCAAGCTTCCTTCTCTGCCTGCATGATCTGAGTAATACAGAGAGGACCTGCATGCCAGTTGGCGGTCGGTTTCCAGAGGTGAGGCGTCATCCAGGGACGCCTTTGAGTTCCAGGAGGTGCAACACTCGTGCCTGGTATTCGGGAAGGTGAACTGAAATCTTCAAGATTTCCTGCTAACTCAGCCAAGCTTGACCTTCGCCCTTACCAATGCAATACCGCAAGCTATGACAACTACTAATTTTCTTTAAGCTTCAGCGCATCTATAGGCTTGACAAGCAGTGTTTCCGTGCCCGCAGAACTCCTCCGCCACGTGGAGGGGACAGGGAAGTGCTTTGGTGCTGCCCTTGGCTCTGAGCAGGGTCAAGCGGTATTCAGACCATGGCGTTGCTGAGGTCTTGCGATTTCCATGCTTTGAGGAGAGATTTGACACCGCGCTGACTTCATCTCTCCGCCATTGTCAGCCAAGCTAACGCAGGACGCATACGTAGCCAGAAAGCGTTTGAACAACCTTTCGATGGAAGGCTGCATCCTCGTGTATACCCTTCAAGTTAGGCCTCCCTAGAAATGGACAGCATCAGTCAAGGCCGCGCCATCATTTGTGAGTTCCCGCCTTGGCGGCCAGTCTGCACTGCCGAAGATTCAAGGCCGGCTCCCGAGATCCCGGCAGACATGATCAGTTCGATCAAGCCGCTCCTGTTTGCTCAGGGGCCTGCGGTTGGATGAGGCAGCGTGAAATACATCCAGGGATGGATTGCTACTTTGACGGAGCTTCAAAAAAAAGATCACCCTGAAGCTTCGCCCGCAGCCTGTTCTCATGGACATGCCGCTACCTAGAGCCAGCGCTCGCTATGGGTCCGTGGCTCAGTGCAACATATCATGACGTGTGCATCCGTCTGCCTCGTACCGCTTCGCGGAGCCATGAATTGCGCGACCAAGTTCCCTGCCTTGTGAAATCCTCGTGCTGTACTTGTACTTGCTTTTGGCTCGTGCTCAGGCCACATAGAGAAAATGATCCTGTCATCAGTTTTGGCGTGGCAGAGGAGGCATGCCAGAAATCAGCAGTCCCAGGAGTATGAACACTTAGCCAGTTGCATTCCACAATTGCTTCCCAGGAATGCAATGTGTCTGCCTCTGATGCTGTTGACGACTGAGTCAGTCACCGAGGGCATGGGGTCATTCTTGCTGTTGTACCAGCACTTGCAAAAGGCTTACTGGACTCTACATCCAGTTCAGCATAGCACGATTGGATGACAGGAGCATTCGTCCACATTTGTCAGGCTTGAACGATCCCAGGCTCTTAAGACCTGGCGTTGCTGTCCAAGGCGATCTGTACAGCTACATAAACAGATACTGTACAAGTGGCGCATGGCCGTGCACATTGCCTTGGACATTACTCTCTGAGTTCCGCAGGCTTGCCGTTCTGCGCATAGATGCCCGCAGACACGCATCTCTTGCGCGGTGAAAACCAGACGGCTGATTGCAATAGTGCCTGTATCAACACTGCAAGGCAGCTTTAATCCAAATCAGCAGTGTCTGCGAGGATCTTGTGCTCAGGGATTTGTGCCCAGAACATGGGTGCAAATTGGCCAATGCGCTGAATGGGCTGCCTGGTAAGGGAGCTTAGAGAGGACTCCAAAGAGAGTCCAACAGCTGGTGTATTCGTTTCATAGTAGGGAATTTCCCACCTTTTCCCGTTTATGTTATGATTCGAGCTGGGATCGCATTCTGGCCACAAGGCCTTTAGCGCGCCCAAGATCCAGTCTGAAAAGGGTTTGAGCCGCATAGGCGGCAGTTACGGCAACCAGCTTTCACAAAGAGCAACTGTCTTTGTAGCAGTCTGTCCGACAGCGTTCTTGGCTTACAAAGGAAGTACAGACAGCTTAAGCATCTAGAGCCACACCTCTGCCCATTTATTCATACGAGGACACGAGCAATTAGCTCAGCAACTTCGTTGGTCAATTAGATGGCCTGGCTCTTCTGTAGAAAGAAGAAAGCCGTCTTGACCTCAGCTTGCACGTTGGTCTTGAACGCTTGCCAGGTTTTTATGAGTTCGCAACTCGGGCAGACTCATGCAGACTCACGTTTGTTACCTAGTTTGGCACTTCTGTTATATGTTGTCCATGTGTGCGCTTCCTGGTGTCATCGCACAATTTGCTGCGTTCAATGGGGACTCCTCGGCTTGATCAAAGCCCCGTTCTTATGATGACATCCTCCCACTTTACGCAACCTTGGTGTTCTTCTTTCACAATTGTTTGGCTCTTCATGATTAGGCTGGCCATCCCCTGACACTGGATCAGATGCAACATGCCTGCTTGGAGGCAACGCTTGGATCTGTCGATTCCTCTCCATCAGGCGAGATGCCTGTGTGTGTTGCGACGTGTTGCGATTTATTGGTTGCTGAGTGAGTTGATCAAAACGACTCAGAAAATGTCATGAAGCATGCCGGCAGCCTCTCTGTGCCACGTGCCGTGACTCAGTCCGCAAGTCTGCGATGACCTGGCGCAGGACTCACCACCTTAGTACCAGCACCTGCAGGGCGACCGCGGGCAAGTTATAGCCGTACCTCGTCAGATCTTCAAGCACATTGTTGGCTGACGATTCTTGTTGGCATGACCCTGGTCTCCCGCTCCGAGCTGGTGCTCTCAAGCATGCCTTAGACAGGAACAGCAAAGCTAGGGATGTCTTTAGCAGTTCCAAAACACCTAAAAACTAATGCGAAACACCGCAGAATTCATTCTTTAAGTCGCCTTCATGGCACCAGTCGCTGTTGCTGTCATTCTCGAAAGCTGCCCTTGGTCAAGTTACACGTTATCTTTTCCTGGGGTCGAGCCTTTGCAAGAGGAAGTCGAGATGCTCTCACAGACTGACCGGCTTTTTCTTCCTCTGTTCTTCATATGGTGCGATTCACAACCTTTTTGGCACTAACTTTCACGGAGAAGGGGACGAGCTGTCATTGCGGTAAGCATTTGAAATAGCTTGCTCCTGAGTGGTTGAGGGGTGATCGTGAAGCGCAAGTCAAGTCACATGTGTGATCGCATGTGACATGCTAGCAAAAATTAAGATGGTGGTTCAGAATGCCTTGGCAGGCAAGAACTCTTTTACAGCTGCTGCTGACAATCCACGCTCGCGAGCAGGACAGTCAGCCGTAGCTCGTGGTGTGCCCTACAAATTACACTTGTAACTGGCTGGGCCGTTGTCTCTTTGTCAGCGTATTGAATGACGCCTGTTGCTGCTGGCTTGCTGGTTTTGGGGTTGGCACCAGGCACCCCCAGTTCAGGCAGCCGGCGTGAGCCTGTCGAGTCACTCGCAGGACTGCCTTTTCAGCAAGGCTTCGTGCTCGTCATCCGAATCTACATGCGCACACATATTATATGTTTACTCCAATTGACCTATGAGTTTTGCTTTCCTGTGCATTTTCTTTTCCCCCCCAGATTCACCAGCTTCATCTTGAGGCGAAAAATCAAAATGGGGCTGCAGGGTTTAGACGTTTGGAAAACAGACTGATAGGTAAAAGATGTAAAAAAAACAAGAGCTTTCCACCAAATCAGCACCAGATTTCTGGGGATTAAAGCTCTCGAGCCATTTTAGATGAATTGAATTTGCAGCAACGCCATGAGTTTGACGATTTGCATTAGCTTCCACATTTAACATGAAGGTGACCATGCAGAGATAAAACTATAGCTGAATTTGTTGAAACTTGAATTGGATTTGGGTAGAGCCGAGCATGGACAAATTCAAAAAGATTAGCAACAATTGTCAAAGGCCGTCGAGGCAACCGCGACCGTGTGACCGAATTCCCTCAGGTTTAACTCGGTTGTATATGAAAGGGTCTTTGTGACTGCATTTCATTTGGCGAAGTAATCATCGCTCCCAGAACAGCAAAGGCCTTCCAATACAGGTGCGTGAGATTATCAGGACAGAGCAGACCTTCCATGAAAAAAGCCAGTGGATCACTGGTAATTTGTTGTGTATCTAGAATTGAAGTCAAGAGCCTTTCAAAATGAGACTTGGTTTAGAAGTGTCTTCCAGGAGTTGGTAGAATCCGAGTTGTTCTTGATGAGCTCTCGTTTAGGCTTTCAGTTAGTTAAGGGCTAGATTTGAAGGCCTTCTAGGAAGCAGTGGGATCCGAATTGTGTCATTTTGAGATTCACAGAACGTAGTAGGCCTTTTAGGAATGGGTGTAAATTGACTCGTTTTACTTTGGGCGTGCCATAGAAGTAGCGTGTTCTTGAATTGGTGGACCTTTAATTGGCTTGCATAGTTGATTTATGTTGGTTTTATTTGCTGTTTACATCAAATTACGGGGTGTCGATGATATAATGAAGGCTAGGTTCAATTTGACTGATTTTGTAGCAGGGCTCTTGTTGAAATATGTCCCGGCTCCTTCATTAGTGTGAATCTGCTGTTTCTCACTTGCATTTATGAAGAGCCATTGGGCTCTTTGTAGAACGAAAGCTTTCCAGGCAAGTGTGGAATCCTGACCGAATTTACTCAAACGACCCAAGCGGAGATTAATTGACTCCCTTGTTGGATTTGATAGGAACAATTGTTCATGACTTACCAAGACTCGTATTTGCGCCTGTCTAGAAGTAAACTCTATGAGTGACGCTTATGAACCTGTGATGGGATTTACCCAGACTCGGGCGTCTGAAGCATGGTTTGGGATGTGAGCGTCCTCAAACACACAGAAAATTTCATCCCAACCGGGGTAGCACATCGATATATACGTATACATGCATATATATGTTTATGACGCATCTGAACGCAACAGCTGTCAGCCGAAGAGAGTACCACTAGTCTTGTCAGGAGATTCCTACCTCTCTCGAGGCAACCGCTGCATACTGGAACTAATGCATTGATGGTTCTTGTCTGTGATTGCATTATGTCAGGCTCACGCAGCAGCAAGGAATCAACAAGAGAAGAGGGCCCAGGCCCAGGTCCGCAACGGGAGGGACTCTGAGTCGAATGGCATCTCTGAGTGGCGTTGCATGTTGTGCATAACCTAATTCCCATGACAGGTTGCCCAAACTGTCCAAGCAGCAAAGAGGGTGAACATCGCACAACCCCTCTCCGTCTGTCCCTCTCTCTGTCAGTGTCTGTTTCTGTGATGCATCGAGTCAAAATCGAGTATGGCATTTGGTTTGTTGTTGTCAAGGCTTGTGGTTCGGGGTAAATCACTTGACCTATCTTGACCTGGAAATCGCTGCCCCAACATGCATCTGAAATCCTTTAAAGCATCCACATGCGGCGTCACAGGGAAGGACGGGGGATTTGAACACCACCTTCACATCAGATTGTTTTCCATCCTGCTTAGCAGCATTCTGTCCCATGAGGACCAGGAGGCCCCTTGTCTACAAGTAACCAAAGATCGCAAGTGCGACCCTGAATCTGGAAGAGTACGCAAAGACGAGCCCTCGGATGGCGATGGCATTCCCAGTGCTCCAGGAGTATATGAAGAGCACACCTGCGGCTGGAAGCACGAAAGGCAAAAGTTGCAGGAAATCCATCCATGAGCACACCTCAGGTCCAGAAGCACAGTTTCGCAACAGCATGCGGCTCCTTTCTCTTTCAATTTCAACTTGGTCGCCCATAAGTTGCGTGCAGGCAAACGTCGGGTGCAGTCAGTTCAAGGAACGCTTCCCACTGGTCTGCCCCGAATATCAGAAGATGTGCGCGGGAAAGGAAGGCTGGAATGCGCGAAAGCACGGACGCATGCAGTGCAGAGTTGTGGGGAGCCAGACGTGTGACGAGACTGCTTTGTCAGGAAGAAGGGTGCTCTGAGCGCGGCGCCCAACTTCATTTTTGTGACGTGGGTAGGTGCATGTCCTGTGTGCTCCAGGCGTGCACGACGTGAGCGATGATCTGATACCAATGCTTCTGGGGCCTGACGGCATTGGCAGCTCAACGAGCCAGGGCAACCGCATCCAACGATCCAGTAGTTCGCTTATTTGCTCGCAATTTGCTTGCAAGTGAGCTCATGAATCTGACGCTTTGCTGCGGGGCACGCCTCAGGTGGTGTAGAGGTTGGAGGCAGCCAGACCGCATCAAAAATTGGTTTATGTTCTGTCACTTGCCTCCTCGTAAGAGTGTGTTTGCTGCATGGTTGGCTCGAGGTCATCTTCCAGACACGGCGACAGCTGTGCCAACCGTGTTAAGATCCGTGCAGAGCACACTGGAAACTAGCCGCTTGGCAGCTTTTTCCACTGCCAGGACATGCTGAGCATAAATTCTCTCCACTGTCTTGTTGGTTTGTGCGGTACCTGGTCCTTCGTCCCTGGCCTTTACCCTTGCGTCGCAGACGTTTTGTATGATGTCTGGATCCTGAGACTTAAACCTCCAGATCCGCTGAAGTGTTTTCCTTTGAACGCCTGGAGGCTGGGATTCAGGCTCAGGGCTCGACGTTTTGAGTGCTCTGTTGGTAAGTAGATAGTTTGGTTCACGGCCTCGTGCGTGAGATTTTTGGTCGAGGGCTCAGAGCTTAAGGCTTCTCAACTAAAAGCTCCCCTTCGCTATTATGCACTCCTTAGGATACCGGAGGAATCCTGGTGCTTTGGTCTCTTCTTGAAGACTTTGCAAAGAGACTAAACGCCCAACGCAACCCTGAAGCCATGTTAATGACGCCTGAAGCCCCAATTGACCTCTACTCCTCCACTCCGACCCTCAACCTAATGTCCGGCAACCTACAAGACATGTCATAGACGCCCCGTGCTGCCAGCAAGGCCCTGATGATAATGGCGCAGATCCAGATGACAGGCAACAACTTCAGGATGTCGTTGCATGTCGGTGGAGCAAACAAGATAGCCAAGCGATATGCGCTTGAGCAGGCCAGCATCCTCCCATATGAGGACATCGTTGCTGGCCAAAGTTCTTCGGCCGTATACAGAAGGCAACCTCGCAATCCTCCCAGCAGATCCGTACGGGAATAATACCGTAATAGTACCGGATGCACCAAGCACATAGCGCGGGAGGAAACGCTACACGTCACGTAGGGCGCTGTTTGAGAAGCTTGTTTGGAATCGCTATATCGTAGTTGCTTGCGAAACTCACCTAAACTGCTCGTCTCCAGTGTAGCCTGCACTTTTATTCTTGGTGTCGCTGAGCGAGGCAATCACTTTGATGTTATTGTTGGTTGGCTGTTGCTGTATTCAGAAGTGAGCGCTGGCCAAGTAGTTTCGGGAACTTTCAACTTCTGTGTGCTCGTGACAACGGTGACACAAACCTTTTTGACAATTTTTTGATCTGCATGGGTATAGGAACGGGTGAGTATGTTTAATCCTTCAACGTTGTCATGGCTAAGCATGCTTCATGAATCTGACGGGTTCACCAAACCGTGCATGATATGAGCAGAGATTTCAGTCTCCTTTGCGCTTTCCGTTGACGTGCGTCGGTAACATTGGAAATATGGCAGCTTTTGCACCTGACTTCCAGTTGTTTGCTGAGTGTCGCGATTTTCAAGTGAGGTGAGGGACTCGAAACAAAAAAAGAGGCGAAGAAACCATTCGAAAGCTATCCCTCGTGTTCAAGATAGGTGCGGCACCAAAGCCAGCTCATGTTCATGAGCAACTGACATAGTTACATGAGAAAACACATTTTATCCGAACTTGAAACCGCATAGATGAAGAAGGCCAGAGGACAAGTCACACAACCAACCTTGCAAAATACAGAAAGATGACCAACTTCTTTGAGGTTTAATTCTGCTGATGCGCACACGAAGTGCGCTAGTCTCCCTCCCATGATCACATGCTCGCGTGCAGGCAGTTCGCACCTGGATGTGCTGGACGACCGCGACGCAGAAAAGGACCTGAATCCACTGTTTTAAGAGTTGGCATGGCTTTCCAGTTCAGTCCAGTAAGAGTAAGGCCGAAGATGGCGGAAGGTTTGTGGAGAAGATCCGTCCTCTTGTGTTGATGCAACCTTCAAGAGGGAAAGACCAAACGGACCCGGGATGGTGGCTGACTCAGGTAGTCCCGAGAATCCGCGAGTGTGACTGACGTGGTTGACAGCTTGCGAAGCCGAAATTGCCCCCCTCGATCTCGTGTCAACGTCAAGTGAACAAGGGTGTTTGGGAACTTGTGGATTCAGAACTCCAAGCTGGCAGTTGGCCTTCGTGGGAAACGCCAACAACTTGCCTACTTCAGGTCCTCGCCCTGTCTTGTTTCACGATGTTGGTGTTGCTTCCGCAAGTAAGAGACTTCTGGTGCGGAACAAGTTCTGAGTATGGAGGGCCTGACTAAACAACAAGCATGCCTGTGCAAGAAGTGGTTGACATGGTCAGGATAGAGGATCTGCTGAGACGGCCGCGAGGAGCTTGTTCGGCTTTTTTCTCCCTCAAGAGCAGAAATGGCTATGTGCACGTTCACGCTTTCGCGCCCGGAAGGTCTGACAGCTCCCATGATAGACTTGATTGCCTGTGCGAGACGGTTTCCATGAATTTCTGGATGGAAGTGTGGCTGCAGGAACGCACCAGAAGCTTCCGAACAGAATTCTGGCCAATCAAAGGCGCTGTATGTAAACTCAGGCACCCGACACGTGAAATACTCTACTGTGACAGGTGTCAAGTAGACGGAGGGCCTGCACCTACGATTGCACTGTTGGGCGGAAGCAAGCGGTCGTCAACATCCTGCTGGATGATGAAAATGCAAACACTTATCAGGCCCGCCAGCTTACTGCTCGGCAGCATGAGTTCATTTATCCTAGGCCATCCGTTTGCAAGATTGTTTCTAGCCATTCTAGCCATGTTTAGGGGATCTGACATCCTGATGAATTTCCGCAGTAATAGCACGATGAGTACTGTATCTCCTCAAACCTTCCATGGCATGCGAACTTTGAAGTATGATCTCAGCAAGATGACTGGGCCTAAAGATGAGCGGCTGGGCTGAAACATTGGATTGCCAACATCTGTAGTAAGAATGGTGAGGGCTGCAGTACAATAATCATGAAGATAGCTAGTGGGAGGAAGCTTCGTTCATATAGCTGAACGTAGTGAGCTGGATGGAGGGTCCGGGGTGGAGAAGAATGGCCTGGTTTGGGATGCTGGTCAGGCGGCCCTTTTTAGAGGGATCTCTGGGCGCGTTTGGGTCCTCATTTTTGGGGGGTGCCGGGAGGTGGGAACGCGGCACAGTACTATTTTTTTTTTTTGTGGCCAAAATGTGCGCAGTTCGGGATTTCCTGCTGCTGCCAGAAAACTTTTGAGCGATGAGCTTTCGTTTCTGCCGCGCCGACAGTTTCTACGCATTGTACTTGTTGAAGACCGATATGGCACCTAGTAACGGCAATTTAACTAAAAGAGTTTCTGTGGCAGCTTTGTTGTGCGGTGATCTTTCACCAAACTTTCTGCTCATGCGGTGCTGGGCAGCTTATGGTGTGCCTCATCTCTTCCACGAATTGTCTTGTTTTCCTCAGCTGCTGTGTCTTCAGGCCGTGCCTTCCAGTGAGAACCTGAGACTGAGCAGATTTGGTATGTTCACAGCCGTGTTCATGGGCAGTTCTCGGCCACGGCAGGTTGTAATCTGATTTTCAGGTGTGCTGCAGCAGTGTTCTGGAGCACTCAACCAGCAAACAGGTGGGCCTGTCAAAAGGCGGCAGGAAGCTGCCGCACGATCGATGAAGCTGAAGGTGTCTGCGGAGCAGACTTGCACGGCTTTGTCAGATTTTGCTCCAGAGGAGCATTGAGCTTCATGTCACATGTCTGGATGCAGGCAATGATGTCTGGAGAGGGAGAGGAACTTTCTGACGAGGCGGCTGCGTTCATTGGGCTGTGGCATGTGCTGTCGTGTGGTGGCACTTGAGCCGAGGTGCTTCATGAGCCAGTGGAAGACCAGCCACAGACGAAGATGGAAGATTTGTATTGGAAGAGCCTTTGGGAGGCCTCTAAGTCAATGTCTAGTCCTTAGTTCATTGTTAGACCCCCTGCTGTGCATCGGAGACAACATGCCAAAACTCAGCACTAAGGATGGAAGCAGAATGCCCAGAGGTTGGACAGCTGTCACGTTATTGACAAATGCTGCGCGCAGTTGCGAGGTTACGCAAGTCAAGAGTACGGACATGGATGACTGGCATCTGCTGCAGTTCGCTTCTTACAGTGGCACTGCAAAGTTAAACCTTGTTGATATCTGTTCCATGTACCTTACTGGCCTTCTTACGAGGCTGCAAGCTTACTGTAGGAGCTTGGTAGCTGAAACGACGCGTCATGTTTTGCAGCAGGGTGTTTTTGCCTTTGGTCTACTCGAGGTCAATGCCTTCTCCGTATTTGACTGCCTGACAAATCCGACAGCTGGTGACCGGCGTGCGACTTTTTTTAGTAGACTGAGGTTAGCACTAGGCTAATGGCGCTCGGATGGCAGATGGCTTTCTGTGGCGTTGCGGTGCTTTCCTGAGAGGTTTTCTGGACCGGGCCACAAGATGTGGTCGGGCAACTTGTCCAGATGCTTACCTCTATTTGGTCCTCATGACCATGAGCTCTTCGTTGCTACCTGCTGGGGTGAGACTTCCTACACGGAAAGTATGGAGTTGTCAGTTGTCAGTGCATCCAGCCTGGAGAAGCAACCTTCTTGAGATCTTCCCGGCATCACCGGACCCATTTTTCAGTGTTTAAGTTGCCTCTGCTTTCAGCAGTGGTCGCAAAGCATAGGCTCTGCAAAGTTGCTCTGCACGCTCGTGCAGTGCTCAATTGTTTGAAAAGCGGCTGCGCTGGCCGCATCTACACTCTGCGCTGGCTTGCTGGCTGCGCAGTTACTGCTGCCCACCATCACAACCGGTCCCTTCAGATCTTTGGTTTCTTGAGCAGAGGCTTAGGCAGCTAGCAAGGACCTTCCTAGGATTCAGGTTTTTTCCGCTCTTGTGGCTGGCAGCGTCTTCTTGACACGACTTGCCTGGTTGGCTTTCGCACTGGCAATTCGTTTTGTGCCTGCCCTTCATGGGCAATCATGGGCACAC